TGATGACAAATGGGGTAAGAAAAAAGGGTGAAGCTGGTTTTATTCCCACCCAGTGGTTATCTGTAGGATCAGGATTTACTTTTATGATAATCCCAGGAATGTCACAGTGTCGAAGTAAAAGTGCTGGCTTTGAAAGTAGGGCCCAGAACTCACTGACTTCTCACAGTGTAGAGATACTGGCCCAACAGTTTCAAGCGTGTTAAACTGATTTATTTTCCATCCAGTGAGATAGGTACTGTTATCATCTTCACTTTTCAGAGGTGAGAAATGAGCCTCAGAGAAGATCAGCGAGTTGCCTGGAGCCCCTGTGTTAGTAGGCAGAGTGGATGGATGGCTTTGAGCCAAGACGCCTGGCTCTAGAATCTATGCTTTTCCCTATGCAAGTACCTTGATAATAAGTGGCTACTCTTACATTTAGGATTTCAAATGTTTCAGATTTTACCAGTATATGTTTGTACTAAATAATGCATACATTCATCATAAGGATGTGGTATATATACATAACACATCTTAATTCTTTTTATGTCCCTGCCTCCTCCCTTTTTGTCTAACCTTTGGTCTCCTTCACATTTACAAAAAAATCTATTTCCCTGTTTCCTGTTATCTTTTATCCTGCTCCTTATTTATTCTGCACTTTGGGTTTCTTACATAAGATAAATCCTGTGATATTTAAACTTGTGTGTCTGATTTGTTTTCTCAGTATTATGGTCTGGGTGCAGCTGTGTTCCTACTAATAATTCAGATTTATCCTTCTTTGTATCAGGGTGCTGTTCCATTGCTTATAAAACTGTATTTTCTTCATTCACATGCTGGCCGACCTGCAGGCCACTTCCAGGGTTTGGCTCTTGTGGGCTGAGCTGCCGTTCTTGAGCTCGTGCCTTTGTTTTTATTACCATAGCTTTGCAATAGAACTTGAAATTTGGGATCGTGATGCCTCCTGCTTTGCTCTTGTTGCCCACAGTTGCCCACGATTTCTTTTGCTATTCTGGGTCTCTTCTGCTGCCATATCAGTTTAGGTTTATTTTCTGTAGCTCTGCAAGCCATGCTATTGGCATTTTGATTGGAATTGCACTAACGCCGTATGTTAGTTTTGGAAGTAAAGTCGCTTTGACAGTACTGTTGCTGCCTGTCCAGGAATAGGGGACATCGTTCCATTTTGCTGATCTCTTCCTCATTTTCCTTTTTCTTTTTAAAGCACTGTAGTTTTTTTTTTTTATTATTTATTTATTTTTGTGCAGGGTCTCACTACACAGTCTAGACTCGTAGTGATCCTCCTGATTTCTGCTTCCCTTGTGCTGGGATTACAGGTGCATGTCACCATGCCTGGACTCCATTCGCTAGCTCAGGGCGCCTGGGAGCAGGGCTGGCACAACATGCAGAGCCAGGGATTGAATCCTGGCCCCTGTGCTTACCTAAGCAAGTGCATAGTCCACTGAGCTATACCGCCAGCCCTAAAACATGTTTTTTGTTTTTTGGTTTTTTTTTTTGGTGGAACCAGGGATTGAACTCAGGCCCTTGCGCTTGCCAGGCAAGTGCATATTCTACTGAGCTATTTCCCCGTTTTGTTACAGAGTTCATTCACTTCCTTTGCTAGGTTAATTCCTAAGAATTTAATTTTTCCTTGATGCTATTGTGAATGGTATTGATTTTATAATTTTGTTCGTTATGTTCAGGTTTTTCATTAGTGTGTGGAAATATTACTGATTTTTGGTGTTTATTTTGCATCCTGCTGCTGTGCTGAATTTGTTCCTTAGTTCTAGGTATCTTTTCATGGTATTTTTAAAAATGTCTTTTATGTAAAGGATCATGTTGTCTGTGAATAAGAATTTGACTTATTTCATATATCTATCTATATATCCCTTTTTTTTTTCCAGTTTACCAATGGCATTCTATTACGAAGTGACTATCATATGGCAAATGTATTTGTACTCTAAAATAATTAAATAACATGCACCTTTCCACTGAGCGGCTTTATGGGTCACGGCCAGTGTAGAACTTGGACAGGAAATCCACGAAACTTTGGCCTTGGTGCCTCCATTTCATGGAAGACCCACATAACATGTGTCCACTGCTTCTACACTTTAATTAAAATGGGCTTCACAGAGTTGCTGGCTGCAGCAGCAGCCTGGCGTAGGCCGCTCGCCATCATCTTGGTCTATATCATATATGTATTTCTTTCATTTCTTTCTCTTGACTGGTTCCTGTGGCTACAGCTTTACTTATCAGTATGTTAAGTTTTCTTT